AACAGTCCTTGAACTAATCACCTGCTCCTCCAAACCGAGCCGGAGCTCAGAACCGTGATGTTTCTGCAAAATCACTTGAACCGGATTCCATTAAACAAATAAAAATTCTCCTTTGTACGACCGCGGAGCCTTGAAATGGAAAGTTTCCTGACATCCTGCTCTGAAAATAAAAACATCTGTAAAATAAAAAATAAAAAATTCCAACCAATCGTTGCCTTCGGTCCTTATGAGGTGCCTGAACACTTCCTGTGCTTTAGTCTAAGGCTACATGGAAACAGAGCTAGCTAGCATAAAACTGCACAAAGATGGCCGACGAGTTTCCCATTTTTACCAAAACCTGCAACATTTCTGCATCTTTCAGCGCAACTCGTGGTTTTAATCGTCCTCTAGTTTCATTAGAAAGCGTTTGCATGTATCCACGCCTATGCTTGCAGCCGTTGACTTTAACTTACATTAGTGTAAATCGGATTTGATTGTTTTTGCTAACATGCTGATATCACTCAGGGCGGGAGTTATGTTTCTAGTTCTTGGTGTTTCCATGATCCTGCTTCAACACACCAACGTTCTTCCAGCTCAGCTACGGCAGCATCGTGTCAAACATCTCGAATGACTTCAGCTCAGCGCCTCCAGGATGACTTCTTACTTTTTAATTCTCGTCTTATTTCAGTTTAGTTTTTACGTATATTTACTTTTATGAATGCATCATGTGTGGATGTTGCTGTGATTGTTTTCTGCCACCAGAGCTCCCGTCTGGATTAACAAAGTTCTGTCTTATCTCCACAGATTTTTTGCTGCAGAAGCTCTGTTCAGATAAGATAAGGAGGAAGCCAAACGCTTGTTTCCTCAGCGTTCACAGAAAACAACCGACGCTGGTGTTTCGGTGCAGCGGCTGAAAATCACAACGTATCCCAAACACCTGACAACACCGGGGTTTTTATTTTATTTTTTTTTTTTGTGTAAGCAACAATCTGCGACTAGAACATCATCGATTTTCTCCCCAGAAGGCCGGGACGCCGCTAACGTTCCAAAGAGTTACAGAAATTTAACGCCGCCTGATTGGATTTGATAAAACGGCGCCGGAGCTTAAATCCACCTGAAGCTGAAACGTCTCGAACACGAATCCTGAACGAATCTGGAAACGTCAAATCGGATCCTCTGTGAAGCCGGTTCCAGTCTCCCGGCGGCAGCAGAACCAACTCCGGCTCTCAGCATCTTATTGTTGTTCATTAACGCGGTTCATTAGCGAGTCTGCATGTAATTATCCTCGTGTGTGAATCCCCGCGTGCTCCATTTAGGAATTAGTTGAATCTTCATTTAACTCTTCTGCCTTCGCCGACGTTTTCACTCATCGCACGTCGTCGTTGAATCCAGAAGATGCTCGGACCGTCGTGCCTCTGAGAGAAAAGGCCTCCGGTCCGTTTCTTCCTCCCCGTGTCCGAGCTTCACGTTTGACTTCCCCGTTAAACGGCAGGAAGTCAGAGGCTGCTCGGCCGCCGTGTTCCCGCCACATGATTAGAACTTTGTCCTGAAATAAATCACAGGAGGAGGAGAGAACCCTCCTCGGATCGTGTTCGGGAGGAAACGTTCTCGTTATCGAGACGTTTTTCTGTCTGAGCTTCTCTTTGTTGTGGTTTGTAGACGTTTGCAGAGTGAAGCTGCTTCATTCCAGCGTCCGGTCGACTTCCTCCTGTTCACCTCGACTCCATTTGACTTGATTGTTTTTTCTGCATCACTGATTATTCTTGTAAGTTGCTCCGCCGTCAGAATTACTGCACATAAAAACAAATACCAGACGGGTTATTTGGGCAACCAGGTTGTTATAACTAGTTATATCTAGCGCCCTCTACTGGCCGGAGTAATGTTCTGCACCCCAAAACCCGCCAAGAGGTTGGAAAAGGAGGATTATTATTATTTTATAAAAAATCACAAAAATGGCCATTTATCAGCCAGACACTATAAAAACAGAAAAAATTCAGGAACTTCGCAACTTCTTGTCAGTCCTCGAACTAACCATCTGCGACTTTTGGCTTCATCGGGAAAAATATCCAAATCCTAAAATCATTTAATTTTAACGTGTTACATTTTTTTAAAAAATTCTCCAAAATTCCAACATTCACATCAACTGGATTTCGTGAAAAATAAAAAATTCTGCGCTGCTTGATGCCACTGTGGAGCCATTAGCGACCAAGCGGTGGCCAACGGTCACGTGACAAAAATTCAGAAACTTTGTAACGTCCCAACAGTCCTTGAACTAACCATCTGCGACCTTCAGCTTCATCGGGAAAAAATATCCAAATCTAAGCCTAAAATTGTGATATTTCCACAAAACCGTTTAATTTTAACATTTAAAAATTCTCCAAAATTCAAACTTTTACATCAACTGGATTTCGTGAAAAATCTAAAATTCTGCGCGACTTGACGCAACCACGGAGCCGAAGTTTTCAACGTCCCAACAGTCCTTGAACTAACCATCTGCGACATTCAGCTTCATCGGGAAAAATAACCAAATCTAAGCCTGAAATCCTTTAATTTTAACGTGTCACATTTAAAAATTCTCCAAAATTCAAACATTCACATCAACTGGATTTTGTAAAAAATCAAAAATTCTGCGCGACTTGACGCAACCACAGAGCCGTTAGCGACCGAGCGACACCCAACGGTCACATGACGAAAATTCAGGAACTTTTTATCTTCCCGAAAGTCCTTGAACTAACCACATTCGGCTTCATCGGGGAAAAAACAAAAACAAATCTAAGCCTAAAATCTTAATTTTTCAACAAAACCATTAAACATTTAAAAATTCTCCAAAATTCCAACATTCACATCAACCAGATTTTGTGAAAAACAAAAAATTCTGCGCTGCTTGACGGAACCACAGAGCCATTAGCAACCGAGCAACGCCAAATGGTCACGTGACAAAAATTCAAGAACTTCTCGGCTGAACTGCAGGCAGTGTTTGCACAGAGCAGATAAGTACAGAAACAACAAATAAAACATGTAAATACGACTTTTCCTCACTAACAGCAACACCTATGAACACCTGGAAACAATAATGTACACACAGGTGCAAGGTTTTTAAATAAAATGTAATTAAATATTCATTATAACAACCTGCACAGAACGAGTTTTTCTTGGTTGTGAGACTTTATATTGCAGTTAAACATGAAGCTGCTCTGAGATAACGAAGGACTTTCTGTTCATTTCCAGTTTCAAACCAAAGAATGTTCGCTTCCTTTACGCTTCATCACCTCAACTCTAATCTGTACCGAAAATAGGGTTCAAGTCTCGTCCAGAAACAACCAGAGATCCAGATTCTCTCGACCTTTTAGAGTCTTCATAGAAAACCAGCACAAACCAAACACTAAATGTTAAATGTTGTTTGTCACAGAGAGTCGAGTCAGAAGCGGAGTTGAGCATCGGCTGATCTGAAACGCGTCCCGTTGGCTCGAGTCTCGAGTTTTATTTCACTTCTTTCTGAGAAACCGTCGCTGCTGAAGTTTGCTTTAAATGCAAACTTCCAAAACCTGCAGATCCAACCCGGCACTTTAACTAAACCTGTGATCGCTGCAGCCACTCGCTCACTGATGAATCTGAGGCAGAAAAACACTGAGAATGAAAGTGTTGCTGGTCGTCGTGCAGCCTGGCTCCACGCTGTGACTCCCACAGACACTCGACATGAAACATATCCTCGGGTACAGGTGGCTGAAATGTGTCGTTTCACTTCCACAACCAGATGATTCAGAACCGCGGCTGCATTCTGAACAAAAACCCTGAACTTCACCTGAAATAAAAACACAAAAATCAGCTTCTCTCGAGGCTCTAATTCCAACATTCCTGCTGTCTGTGCGTCTCGTTGTGTGTTTTCTAATGTATGTGCATATCGCCGGGTTTTCTCGGTTCTGTGCATTTCAAAAAAGGTCCGTCGAGGGACAGAACCCTGCAAACCGGCCCGCGTTATAAATACTGCATCAGCTCACGCTACATGCAAGTAAACACGGAATGAAACGAAGAAACCGACACGGAGGAGAAGCAGGCCACGGCTGGCAGGCTGGAGGAGCTTCATGAGCAGAAAGATGGAATTCATCCACTGATCTGTTTAATGAAAGTACAAATACCACAGAGTATAAATACTCCATTACTTGGAGAAAGACACCTTTAAAGATAAATGTGAGAAGTTCTGAGGTTATTCAAAGAAATCTACTTGATTTATGATTTATTTGTTGGGTTTTCTCTGCTATTTGCTTCATTCTGTGCTTTATGGTAAATATTAGAGACTTTTGAGCCTGAAAGGATTTTAAAGTCTTGTTGGTTAAACTGCTGATAAAACACCTTTTAAAACGGATTTTTTTGTGATTTTAACTCAACTCAAAACTGTTTCTGCACTACAGCTCCTCTTTTTCTTGCAACCAGGTCGTTTTTCTGAACATTTAATGCACCACAGCTACTTTTTAAATGCACGTTTCATCGCGGCTGGCTGGTAATAAGCTAAAATATCTGAACATGGAGAACAGTGAGAGGACCATCTGGAGGCTGGAGGAGCAGGAAAACTTCAACACACTCCTGCATTTGATCCACAACCACAGTGTGTGTGCAGGAGAAGAAGAAAAACCAAGATGAGTAACATGACGAGCAGCCCGAGGAGATGAGCGGAACCACGGAGCCCGTCAGCGGACCAGCACCGAGACCGGACCTCAGCAGCTGGACGCGGAGCCGCAGCTCAGGAGGAGACACTTAAAAGTTCTGTGTGGAAACTACAAATCAGCAGCAGCTCGGTGCCTCCTGCACATTCCTGCCACCATGTCGGTGTGTCGGTGTGTCGGTGTGCAGGAAAGGAGGAGAAAAAAAAAAAAAGGTAATATTTCGGGAGGATACACACGCACACGCACGGGGCGAGCACGCGCACACTCTCATCCCCAGCCTCCCAATGCAAAGCCCACGTACCAAACACACACACATGCACTCGCCCCTCCGGTCCCCCCATCACCCCGCGGCGCTCCTACCTCCACACTTGCCCCAGCTGCAGGACGTGCAGCACGGTTTGAAAGACCCACATGCAGACGGTGCAGCACCTCGGGGGGGCGCCGACTCTCCCGGCCGTCACCGGCGGCCCGGAGGACGTGTACACCGGGGTAACGTTCGCAGCGTTCCCCGCTGCCGCCGCCGCCGCGCTCCCGCCGCGCTGGTCGCTGTCCTTGGTGCTTAACGCGTCGGCCGCTCCGCCTGCTGCCGCCGCCGCGCCGCTCGCCGCTCCGTCGCCGCCGCTGCCGCCGCCGCCGCCGCCTCCTCCTCCGCCGCTCAGATCCGAGTAGTCGTACACGAACCAGCGGAAGCTCAGCACCTGGACGACCGCGGAGGGCACCACGACGAAGACCAGCGTCAAGCCGAACCACCAGTAGTCGCCTCTCAGGTAGTAGTCGGCGGCCAGCCACAGGTCGGTCGCGCCGTCGGAGAAGAAGACGAGCAGCGCGCACAGCACCCAGCAGCAGTCCAGCAGGGTGAAGGGCTTCCCGCCGGCCGCCGTGCAGCGGGGCCGGGCGGCGGGGTTCCCCGGCTCCGACAGGCTCCTGGGCGTGTTGTCATCTTCCACAGACACTGCTGCTCCATCCGACTTAGCGGCCATGTTGGTTAGGATGGAGAGAAAAGACGGAGAAAGAGGAGGGGAGACGGAGAGAGAGAGAGGGAGAGCGGGGAGGGGAGAGAGAGCGCTCAGAGATTACATCATAACTAGCCTCATCATCAGCCAATTAACGGAGAGCCATCATTACCGGGAGCCGTTAACACACCGGCAGGACGTCGGTGCAGCAGCCGGCAGCGGTGACCTGCAGGAGGAGGTTTAGACCCACATTAAAGCCGCTGCGCCTCGTTACCGCTCAGGCTGCAGCAGACACGCGCTCTGCTCAGGTGTCAGCAGCTCGTCTGTCTGCAGGAAGCAGCCAGCAAGGATCCAGGATCCGGTCCACAGACCAGCTTCATGGTGCTGGTTCTGCAGCTCACACATGATTAGTGAAGCTTCTTTGTTTTTTTTTTTTAAGGCTTCACATTCTCAGATGTTTGAGCTCCTCAGTAACCAGGACAGAAAGGTTACATCCAGCTGGTTCTGTCTGGGTTCGTCTTTGTCCCTCTGCACAGTCTGACACACTAAAGCCTCATTTCTTCATCAGAACAACAACAAGATGTAAGCTGGAAAATAAAATAAAATCCTGGGAAAAAAACACAAATATGCACAAAAAACAACAAAAGAAA